TTGGAACCACTTGAATAAGGCTGGATACAAAAAGAAGCTCGATGTATGGGTGCCACACGAGTTAACGCAAAAAAACCTCATGGACCGAATTTCCATCTGCGAATCGCAACAAAGGGTGCGTTCCGTTTCCACGCATGATGCGCATGAAACGCAGCGTTAAAGAAACAGAGATACGAGAGTGAGATAAAAAGAGAGGGAGAGCTCTCGGGTGAGGTTGTCGAACCTAGGTTAGGTTAGTTTTCGAACGCATGAGATCGCATGGACTGCACTACCTCGGAGCTGATGCAGTTCATGTGTTCGAGAACTAACCTAACCTAGGTTCAAGAACCTCACCCGAGTGCTCTCCCTCTCATTTTATCTTACTTTCGTATTTCTGTCACTCTAACGCTGCGCTTCATGCGCATTATGCGTGGAAACGGAACGCACCCAAAATCGACCCATTTCTGCAGCGGATGGTGACTAGTGATGAAAAGTGGGTCACTTACGACAACGTCAAGCGAAAACGGTCGTGGTCGAAACGCGGTGAGCCGGCGCAAACGGTGGCCAAGCCAGGATTGACGGTCAGGAAGGCTTTGCTGTGTGTTTGGTGGGATTGGCAGGGAATCATCCACTATGAGCTGCTCCCCTACGGCCAAACTCTTAATTCGGACCTGTACTGTCAACAATTGGACCGTCTGAAGGAATCAATCGCCCAGAAGCGGCCAGCTTTGGCCAATAGGAGAGGAATTGTGTTCCATCAGGACAACGCCAGGCCACACACATCGATAGTGACTCGCCAGAAGCTCCGGGAGCTTGGTTGGGAGGTTCTTATGCATCCATCTTATAGTCGAGACCTGGCACCAAGTGATTACCACCTGTTTCTGTCTATGGCGAATGATTTTGCTGGTGAAAAATTCGCCTTAAGAGAAGCTTGTGAAAATCGACTGTCCCACTTTTTTGCCAATAGGGACAAAGGTTTCTATGAGAGAGGCATAATGGAATTACCTTCAAAATGGCAACAAGTTATCGAACAAAAGGGTGCATATTTGACCTAAATCGGATCATTCTAACTATGCTAAATAAAGCCTTCAATTTCATGCAAAAATAATGGATTTCTTTTTACTACACCTTATATTTACTACACCTTTTTACTACACCTTATTTTTACCATACTATTCAGTAATGTTTTACATCAATAATACTTATAGAATAGTACTTAGAATAGCACTCGTTAGTGGCAATCATTAATTTGTCTTATTGCATATTTTT